CAAAGTTCCCATTTATCCATAGCCCTATCAAGAGCCCCCAAGTCTAGTACATAAAAAGGCTTTTGTCCATGTCCTTGATTCGCCGCCGCAGCAGCTATAGATTTTATGAGGTCTATCATTCCATGTTTTTGGATTTTGTGAACATGTCGGTTGCCTATTTGGCTTCTTGCACCCACCATTCTTTGGATTGAACTTATAAAAATTTATTCTCTAAAGAACAATATTGTTGAAAAAGTACATGTAATTAAGAATAGGTTACTATATATAAAAGTAAATATCTAATGAATAGTGATATAGTTTTTGATTTGATAAAGGCATCTAAAGAGCATGGCATGCATGATTTAAAGTACAAAAGACATTAATTTTATAGGCGTATCTTTGTTTTTGTACTACTTTACTATTACATGCTCTTTTGATGGTGTTATTCTAAGACATCTCAGCTAGCTCGCAAGCTAGACTAATTTGGTTGTGTTCTTGTGCTTTTGGTATTCTTTATTGTTGAATTTATCTTCTCCATTTTAGGCCTAAAAATTACTTTGTGCACTCTTCTTTCACAAAATTATCTTTGTCATGATACTTTAGGTTACTTTTATGGATCATTTTTATTGTACACATAAGTTATACACATTTTGTATACACACTCCTAGTTTCCTACTTTTATTACCTTATATTTAGGGGGTCGGGTTTCCCTCTTATAGTAATACTACTAATACTCAATTTCAACTAATAAAATGACAAGTGTGAACAAATATGAACATGACCACCACAATGTTTAATCGTTTATCAGTAGAGTCGTCTACAACAATTTTGAGGGTCACGGTCCAAATTTGACCAATAACACATGGCTATTCAAATAGTCATTTTGGAGAGGAAAATTAAGAAAAAAATTCCATAACTATTACTCTTTAAAATGTGATGGACAAAATATTACTTAATATCTACTTCGTATTAGTTACTATAACTGTGTTCAAAATTTACATCGCAGTCACTAAATGTAAGTTACTATGATACTAAGTCATATTTTTGTCCATGACATTTTTATTAGTGTAATGTTTAAGAAAAAACCCCGAAAATTAATTAGAGCCACTACAAAAGATTAAAGTATGAGTTTAAGTGTTTAGGGATGGGTGTGGCTGGAAGGTGTTTAGGAATATGGAATTGGGACATAACCCTTGTATGAGTACATAGGATATCAGATGACTTTTCACTTTCCAAAATAAGACGTGTGACTTTTCACTTTCCAAAAGTAGGATCAATTTTCAATTGGACAAAAAAGAGACTAACATACGGAAGAAAGAGACAGATCAAATTAAAGCCATGCGCCATCTATCGCCATTTCAGTAACATATGGAAGCAAGAGACAAACCACTTCCGACGCCGTAGACGGCGACCACCAGCGAGGCGACCGCCAGCAACCAACCATAGTGAAGTTCGTCGCAACACCATTGCTGGTCAATAACATTGTCACCGCCACGAGCATTATCGCCGCCTCCAAGGCCATTATTGCCGCCGTTGGTTTCTAATCGGACAATTGGATATACTCTTTCCTCTTGTTCTTCTTCTTTCTTCTACCAGACAATTTGCAATCGCTCAATTGATTGGTGGGGGCGGGAGTTAGGGTGGTGGCGAGGGAACGACGGTGGAAGGGGTTGGGGAAGGGGCTGCTGGGGGCTTATGAAAGGTGCTTGAGGGGGTTTTGGGGGCCTTTGATTGCTTGGGTAGGGTGTTGGATGGGGGCTCTTGGGTGTAGAGGTTGAAGGGGGCTGGGGGAAGATGCTGCATGGCTGCAGGGGTTTGGGTGAGGGTGGTGGAGGGGGGTTGTCGGTTGCTGGCGGTTGGGGGAGGGTGTTGGAGGGGGGATGGGTGGTGATGGGTGGAGGCTGTCACCACCGGATGGAGGCGGAGATCCCCGTCGGACGGCAACAGTGGTCAATGCGGTGGTCGGGGGAGGCGGTGGTCGGGGATAGTGGTGGTCTGGGCGGCCGTGTCGGTGTTGTTGTTGAATTGGTCGTGGTCATTAATTGGGTTGGTCACTGGTCGAATTGGTCACGAGGATTTGTCATGATCGAATCGGTCACGGTCGAACTGGTCACGGTCGGATTGGTCACGATCGGTTTGGTCACAATCGGATTGGTCATGGTCGGATTGGTCATGATCGATTGGTCGTTGGTCAGGTTGGTCACTGGCCGAATAAGGATGTTTTCTTTTGGACTGTTCTCAGTCCCAGACCAGACCAGATCAGACCAGACCTGACCAGACTTTCGTAGTTATAAAATACACAGAGGACAGACGTTTAGCAAACCAGTTCAGACCAGATCAGCAAAATCCAGTCCAAAAGAAAACATCCTTAGTCACTGATCAGGTTGGTTATGGTCAATTGTAGTAGTCTAGTCTCATATTTGGAATTCTTTAAAAGTCGTCTTATATTTGTCCATAGCACTTGTTTTAGTACTCCAAAATAGGAGTAAATAGTAGTTCGTAGTATTATTTAGGGAAAGTTCCTGAAATAGGTCTAAAAAAGTTTGAAAATTCTAAAATAGGACTGTCATGTTTTTATTCCCAAAATAGGAGTAATTACTGCTAAGTTTGGGAAATAGTGACATGTTTAAAGTCTGATATTGTCATAACATGACATTAATTAGTCCTATTTTGGGAATAAAAACATAGCAGTCTTATTTTGAAAATTTCAAACTTTTTTAGTCCTATTTCGGATACTATTCTCTATGTTTTTTTTTTGAAAAATATTCTCTATTATTTATGGACAAACCGACAAACCCCATTTAAATTGTAAGATGAAATGAAAATGATGGGTATTGAAAAAAATCAATATATATATATATATATATATATATATATATATATATAAAAGAGGAACTTTTTAAGAGCATACAAAGCGCCACATAATCCTGCCATGTCATTATATGTATTAATTATTTAGTTATTTTTATACCTTCTATTTTTATTAGCTAGATTCTATTTTTGATTGCATATTGATATGGAAACAAAAATCGTAGAAATCCACCTTAATTAATTTGGTAACTTTTTCAAAATCCATTACATATTTGATAAGTATTAAATTCTGTAATTCGAATCACAATAATTAATAACCAAATTTTAAGCACAGACTCACGGAGTAACAATCATTTAATTATTACATTTTATTAAAGAGATGAAGTATTCGTTTTTTGCCCACTTCACAAATAAATCAGCCAAATTGCTATTAATTTTGTCTTCACAGTAATTTGATAAAAATAAAAATGTAATAACAGTGTCTCATTTCCTAAAATGTAATATTTTATTTTTCTAAACTCAATGTTGAGACAATGATCAAAATTCTCTTTTCGAAAGAGATAATGATTAAAATTCTAAACCCCAGATTTGCAACTGTGTTAATACTTCACATTTTGCTCCATCTTCATACAATTCTTTCTTAATTATTAAGATAATGATAAAAATTATAACCACCATATAATTGAAATTAAAAAACGAAATTAAAACTATTAGATATTCTAATATAGAATCTTAAGAAGAATACTTCTGATCAAGTTGCTTACCTTATTTAATAAGGATGAAAATTGGCATCATACATAAAGAGATACATGTATGTATATTTTCACAAGTAAATACGTTTAGGCCTAGCAAAAATAAATAAATATGTTTGGTTATTTCTTTATTTTATAACTACAATTTAAATGTGCCTTCACTTTTGAAATACATTCCTAATCCAAATTAGAAAATCTTTCTATGATTACAAATTCCTACTTTTATTTTAATAGAATTTTTTGAATTGGATTGATTTCAGTTCCAGATTAAATCAGATCAAATTAAACTTTAATAATAATAATAATAATAAGTCACATAAAATGTAAAACAAACATCTACCAAACCATATTAATTCATACCAAATCAAACCCAAAATTTTAATTCAATTAAAAAAAGTCTTTATTAATGAGTAAAATGTAAGATCTCACAATTAAAATTTTAAAATGTATATTTCATACCAAATTGAATGAAAAATACTAGAAAAGTATTTTTTTTTGAAATGCTCAATAAAGTAATTTAGATGTTAATAAAAAAAGTATTATTTTTAATGTATCGAAATAATGAGTAAAATGTTAACAAAAAACTCCATTTTTTTTACATTTACGGCGTGACAAAATAATGAGTAAAATATAATATCTTATTATTAAAAGTGAAAAGTATGCACTAAATAAGTATTCTACATCAAGTTGATGTGAAATAGTAAAAGAAAAAAATTTGAGGTGCATAATAAAGTAATTTAGAGAACGTGAGATTATGAATTCTATAAAATCAGGTTCACAACAATTATATTTACTCGAGATGCTTATGTAGAAAATCAATTTAACTATTTTTCATATAATCTTTTCTTGGCTTCATAAATGGAATATATTTTACATATGTTTTTTCATTCAGCCAGGATTTAATCAATTTCAGTAAAATAAGTTAATTCGATCTATCATAGTATTATCAAACAGACTATAAATTAGACTAATTTATTTTTCTTTTAAATCACATTACATATGACCCGGAATAAATCAAATTTCAAATTAACTAAATTACATATTGCGATGCACGGGCTTGAAAGCTAGTAAAGAAATAAGCAAAAGATAATCTCACGTCATAACATGACATTAATTAGTACTATTTTGGGAATAAAAATTCGGATACTATTCTCTATGTTTTTGAAAAATATTCTCTATTATTTATGGACAAACCGACAAACCCCATTTAAATTGTAAGATGAAATGAAAATGATGGGTATTGAAAAAAATGAAGAAATAAGCCAAAAATAACCTCGCGCCAGGTAGGGGTCGAACCTACGACCTTCTGCTTAGGAAACAGACGCTCTATCCACTGAGCTACAGGCGCTGGTGTTTAATAAGAAAGAACGTACTCCAATATATTCAATATTATAATGAACGTCCAACTGGTTTGGGCCTACCGTCTACGTGGTTTTCTCGCTCAATACCAACTGGTTTGAAGACGGATTCCGATACTGAGACCAGTTGTTCTTCAATCTTCATCGAGTAAGGCTCCTCACCATAATTACTGGCGAGTAGTTAGTTTCAGATAATCATGATATGAGTTTCCTTATTACCGAAATTGTATGATTTTTTAATGGTATTCCTTGGAAAGCTTCCAAGTAGAAGGCATACTAGTACTCCTTAAAAATCATACATTGGCAGCAGCCATGGAAGACTTCCACGCAGAATCAGTGAATTGCAGGAGAGAAGCAGAGAAGGAAATCACAGAGAAAGTAAGGGAGGTCATCTGCTCCATCAAAGAAGCAAGCCACGTCGACCAAGTTATCGCAGCTCTTCACTCTATTGCCATTCTGCTATTCCCTCTCGATTCTCGCTCCTTCTTAGGTTCTCGTACAGCTGAAATTATTATATGTTAGGGAAATCATATTATTCAGGTTAAAACTAATTTTTAAATACATACTTTTCTCTTTGTGAATTTCAGGTAGTATTGATGAGCAGTACAAAGAACAGGTACACCTGACTTTTATGTACATACATACATACATACATATATATATATATATATATATATATATATTTTAATTTGCTTAGATAATGACACATTTTGATATGCATCCCTAAAAGTTTGTGAAAATTTGGTTATCCGCAAGATACAAAGCGCTCTGGTGCCGGATTCTGACAAGAGAAGTGAATGGCATCAGATTTTCTACAAGGGTGCTGCATTTCGCATGCTAGCTCATGTTTTATTATATGGTAATGAATGAAAGATTGAAAAATTCGTTTTTCATTGGTTGCATATGATGGATCTTTTTTATACTATAAGTGTATAGTCATTTGCAATGAATGATGAATTGCCATTTTGCATTTTCCATACATTAGTTCTTCTCTTAAATGTGGAGGGCTCCTAATGCAATGCTGATAATATAGGTGTGGCTTTGGATTGGCTAGCATGCTTCCCCACTTCTGCAAGGGTACACGTTTATGATGTGTTTTTTATAAACGGACATTTCACTGAGGTCATCCAGGCACTAGTTCCTTCTTTACAAGGAAGAAATATTGACACTCGGGATCTCAATATAGTGTGCTTGAATGCTGAAAGGTAAATACAACTAACAAAAAGACGCTCATTATTGTCTTAAGCTCGCATATGAGTCTCTTTACATTCGATTTCTCACAATGCTCGTCACATTGCCTACAATGTTTTATTAAATTAAAATATCTCCTTGTATATATATGCAAAAGCATATTGGCATAAACCAACAGAAGCTCCTTATTCTCTAAATTATTCATATCAGTGTTTTCACATCCGTTTTCACATAATGCTCATCACATTGCCAACATGTTTATTGAACTAAATCATCTCCTTGTATATATCTGTAAAAGCATATAGGCACAAACCAACAAATTCTCCTTATTCTCTAAATCTTATATATCAGTGTTTTCACATAATGCTCGTCACATTGCTAACATGTTTATTAAATTAAAATCTCACATTGTATATATCTATAAAAGCATATAGGCACAACTTCTTAATGTATGCCCCACTGTCGGTCATCATTTTCCACATTCATTTACATCCTGGACAACTAGAAAGGGGTTAGTTCCAAGAAACATTCATCTTTTCCCCTCTTTTTTTCCTATTTCTTATCCTTTTATCCTTATATATAAATATTATTTTTATCCTTTTTTATTTTATCTTTTATATGTATATTCATCTTTTTTATATTATCTTTTTATAATAGCTTATCTTTTTTATCTTTATTTTCTTTCTTCTCTTTTTGGTGATATCATGTATCAATTCATGTTAGCCGACCCCAATATCTTTTGGGACTAAGGCTTGGATGTTGTTGTTGTTGTAGTTGACTTAATATGAGATGTAAGATTTGATATGAACTCCAGGCGCTGGTTATTAGCAATCTTTTATCAATGTTCCATTCAAGAGCAATTGATGCTATATGTAGTGTATATAGAATTCACTTGCCTTCATTAGGTGTACATTAATAATAGCATATCCTGTGTCTTTCCTTCACAATATCCATGGCAGGTTACTTCTTCTTTGCTTGTTTGAGAATGATGGACTACTCCGGATTGTTATAGAATTTTCCAGTGACTCTCGAACCAAAGGATATACCCATGAGTCTGTCCAGCAGATTATTTTCCAAGTATCACAACTTATTACTTCTATTCCTGACAAAGCACGAACAAGAGCGCCCACTTCGCTCTCTTCATCGTATCCTTTTATTTTTCCTCACTCTTCAATAAAAATGTTTGCACCTTATGGCATGTGAACATGTTTTACATTATTTATATACTACCCCAGTCTCACTAAAATTGGGATATAAAGAGGTGGTTCGGTTATTAAGAAAAGGGGGTTTATATGGTTGGCATTGAATTGATAAAGTAGGAATGAAGTCATAATGATATAGAGCCGCACGAACATTACCATATTTGGTATGAGACAAACTTAGTGGGAGGGTGGAAAAAGAAAAAAAATGGGGCAAAGACATTGGGATGGAAGGAGTATTAGTTAGTGTCTTGGTTATTAGTTGAAATAACAGTTTCCTTTTTTCTTTTTATTCTCTTTCTCTATTACTCCCTCCATCATTCTGTCCCTAAAATAAATAACACATTCTCCTCTTTGGTCCATTCCAATTTTTTTCCCTATTTCCTTTTGAGGAAAACATTATGTGGTTCATGTTATTTCTTTCTCCTCTAAATAAATTTCATTCACAAAATTTTATTTTCTTAACCTCAATGTGCAGTCAAATTGTGATGTTATTTAGGGACAAAGGGAGCATATTCATTATAGTTTTTTTTGTTATTATTATTATTATTATTATTATTATTTTATATTATTACATAATTTACTTTTGTTTTATTTTTTGCATTTTGCGTCTTTGAGTATTTATTTGTTTATTTGTTTATTGTATTGTGATGAGGTTTGGAAGGTTGGTCTAAGAAGTGTCTTTACCAATATAATTGCAATCTGGTACTGTACATGCCATTTTAATTTCTGTTTACATTTTTTTGGACTAGCTTGTTTTCTTAACAATCAAATATTAGATTATTTTATAAGCGTATTACCACCCAACTACTTGATGGAGCAGAAGAGTCAGACAGGAATTCAGATGAAACATTGTCCTTTGATAAAAACAAAACTGATTTTTCTCTTCTATTTATTGGCCAAGCATTTACTCGCATTTGTCGGCGAGGGTTTGCAGGTGGTTTATATTATTGCAAGCTACGTATCGTCTTGCACTGAAATGGGGAAAAAGATATAACTGTATGAACCAAAGTTTTTAATTTTCTCAGATGTGCTGTTAAGTGTGCTGATTCCTAGAATCCTCAAAAGTGTTCGTAGCCTTCTAGGGCCGAATGCTGATTTGACTGTTAGTGAAGCATTTGAGTCAAAACCTGGTCTTCGTTTTTTCCTGAAGATAATGGAGGCAGTTCAAGATCCACACTCAGTAGAAAGGTTGTCTGAACAACTTCTGAATCAACTAGCAGCTCAAAAAGTGAGAGATGATGAAGCATATTGGATTTTATGGATCTTGTTTCACCGTATCTATGAGCAAAAAACATCAATTAGGTATGGCAGTACCTGCTTTAAATTCTCAGTACTGAAATATTAGAATCTCTCTCAACACCATTGAATTATTATTCTTGGCATATAGAACAGGCTTCTGATTTTTTCATTTGTTATTCAGTTACCACACATATGAATCTGAACTATATTGGTAATTGTGTACAGATGGTTGTTAATTAATAACGTGACGTGCCTGATAAATGCTTCGTTTAGTAGCCACTATTGACTTAATTTGCGAATGAGCAGAATAATTAGTTTTGACTTACTTACTTAGCTGAATGGAAGTTACTAAACTCTTTTCCTTTAATAAATTTCAGCAAGTTCTCACCCATCTGAGCTAGATAACCCTTACCAAACATGCACTAAAATCTCCCTCATGTGTTCAGGCATATTTTGGCTTCATTGGGCACTTTTGCATTTAATTCATTGACGAATATTGTATAGTAAAACTTGCATTGAGGAATTCTCATCCTAAAAAATTTAGTTACTTGTATTGAAGGTATGTTGATACTTTTATCCTCGACTCAGGGTTGTGTCCTTTTTCCTTTTCAGATCCATGTTCCGAGATAAATTTTTACTTTGGAAAGTATTCCCTATATGTTGTTCAAGATGGATTCTCCACATTGCTGTTTTTGAATGTGCGCCTAATACTTCATTGGCTACAAAACACTGTAATGTCCGTGCTCATTTAGACACCGTGCAGCACCTTGCCATAGCATGGTCTAAAAAAGAATTTGTTCAATCAGCTACAATTGAGCAGCAAGCGTGTATCCTTTTTGTATCTTTTCTTTTTTGGGCTACAACCTTTTATTTTATAGCCTTGCAAAAAAAGTGTAAACGTGTATAGTGCGCTAGGTCTGATCCTTTCACCTTATTGTCGATTTATCGTATATGAGAGTGGTTGGAATTACTTATTTTCTGGGAATAACTGCTTCTTTGTGAAATAAATGCACTTTTTATTTAAAAAGAAGCGGTTGGAAAAATAGAATAAGTGATTTAACATCAAAAAACAGTTTACTGTCTATTTAAGAAAGATCAGATTGATGCTTTTTCAGAAATGCACTCTAAGTGCTTAAATAATACTCCCTCCGTTTCTAAATGAAAGTCACACTTTGACTTCATACATATTAAGAAAATAAATTTACTGAGAGATAAAATTTAGAGTACACTGTTTTGACACTGTTTTGCACTGTTTTAATATAGATTTGTTTACCAAATAAGGAAGTGTGCCTTTGTTTTGAAACATCCCAAAAAGGAAAGTGTGACTTTCATTTAGAAACGGAGGGAGGAAATACTTTTATGCTAAAAGCATGCACCTATCCTGTTTTACAATAATTTCACCCAAAAGGCTTTATATTTCCCTTTTATCTGTTTGGCACTTAAAACGCAATAATAGACATCACTGCTGCTTTAGGCCTTTGCCTAGAGAATATATCAAAGGAAGATTTAGATGCAACCAAAGATGCACTGCACTCAATTCTTCAGGGTGTTAGCTGTAAATTCTAACACGTTTTTTATGTTTGTTTGACTTCTTTTATTCTTAATACAATAGTATTATTTATTGCAAGCTATATACTTTCTTAAAATTGATGCCAGGTAGGTTGAACAGTCCTGATCATTTGGTCCGAAAGATGGCTAGCAATGTTGCTTTAGCATTTTCTCGTATAATTGATCCAAAAAATCCGCTGTATCTAGACGATAGCTGCCATGATGAGACAATTGACTGGGAGTATGGTTTAGGAAACTTTGAGAAGGGTTCTTGTCTTATGCCTAATTGCACTGATGAAGATATTAGCAGAAAAGAAGATTCTTCATCCATATCAGAAAGAAAGGAGTTTGATAACAGAAGTCATGATGATATGTCCAACAATATGATGGTTAATTGTAAGCGACTGCATGAATGCAAAATGGTTGATCCTGATGAGATTGTTGATCCCGCATTGTTAATTACTGAGCTGGCTCCTTATGAAGACGATGATGATATCACAAATGAAGATTCTGAATCCTCTAGTGATTCGTCATTGCAGCCTTATGATTTAGTAGATGATGACACAGATTTGAAAAGAAAATTCTCGCAGTTGGCTGATGTGATCGGAGCACTAAGAAAGCCTGATGATGCTGAGGGTGTATGTTCTATTAGAAAAACTTTCTATTTTATCTTTGTTGCTATGTACTCCCTCCAGTGCACAATAAGTGTTCTTTTGGAATACAACAACAACATTACCCCAGTGCCACAAAGGCTCCCACCAACGGTGGGGTAAGAGGGGGTCGGATGTATGCAACCTTACCCCTGTACTAAAGCTAAAAAATTGCATGGACTGACTGCGGCTTCATAACAAAGAAGCGCAGACAGTTTAGTGAGCCATTTAATAAGTGTTCTTTTGGAATAAATCGCACAAATTAAGGACTTGATAAATAGAGAAAAACTTTACAACACAATCCCTACTTACCGTTAAGTATGAACGAAATGTAGCATTAATATTGTTTTGGGTTTACAAAAAGATACTTCCAGTGTAACAGAAATTTCCTCCAAAACGACACATATTTGTGAACAATTTTTCCCTCCAAAACATGTATTGTGAACCTCAACAATTAACCTAAAAGGTAAAGCCCACCCTCCATCTCCCCAACTGTCGTCTGAAGTCATAATTGATCTTTAACAGGTTGAACAGGCTCTTGATGTTGCTGAGAAACTTGTGCGAGCCTTTCCTGATGAGCTTAAGTTTGTAGCTGGTGATCTCACCAGAGCACTTGTACATGTTCGTTGTTCAGATTCTACTGTTGATGGAGAGGAAGAATCTGCAGAAGACAAGAGAGAGAAGGCATTAGTTGCTTTGATCGCTACCTGCCCGAATGAATCTCTAAGTGAGCTAAACAAATTAATATATTCACCGAATCTAGATGTAAGTCAGCGGATATTGATTCTTGAAGTCATGACAAGTGCTGCTCTAGAACTTGCAAATTCACAAACTTCAAAACCCAAGCAAGACTCTAGATTCCTCGTGTCATCCATGTCAGACCAGCCATGGTTTGTGCCCAAGAACATAGGTCCCCCTGGAGCTACATCATGGAAGGAGGTCTCAACTCCGGGAACTCCTTTGAATTGGTCTTACTCTTATGAGAGAGAGCTTCCCTCCAAACCAAGTCAAATAAAAAAAGGAAGGAAGACACGTCGGTGGAACCTTCAAGCATCAATGAAACAAGATACCCAGGTTGACTGTTCCTTGAATAAGTTTCCCCAATATGCAGCTATGTTTATGCTTCCAGTGATGCAGACATTTGATAAGAAAAGACACGGTGTTGATTTGCTTGATAGAGATTTCTTCGTTTTGGGAAAGGTTATCTACATGCTCGGGGTTTGTATGAAGTGTGCTGCTATGCATCCAGAAGCATCTGTTTTGGCATCTCCTCTATTGGATTTGCTGAGATCTAGGTATCGATCGTTATTATTCCTGCTAGCGGTGTTATTGCTGGTTATCCATGTCTACCTAATATTAACACACCTTTACCCCCATAAAGTGAAAGCCTTATTCTCGATCACTATTACCTCCATCCTTAAGAGGAGTTCCTACTTTAACTTGTGTGATTTATGAATCAAATACTTTTCTTTTGACTTCCAAGAATGTTATTGTGATAGGTGGTTGAGAATAATTAATAATGGTAGGTGGGGGGATATTAGGCGTGGATAAGTAAAGTAAGAATTTTACTTTTACCTTAATAAGGAAAGAAGCCTTCGTATAAAGGAGATTATGGACTTTATTTGGGACAATTGATGTATTAAAATATTATTTGTGGTGTAAATGAAAAATGCTCGAGGCAGTGTAGAGTCTGTTTGGCACTCGAAGCTGCTAAATAGCTCAAAGCTGTAATAGGTGTCAAGCGTTTGGCAAAATTAATTGTTGGGTAGTGTATTGATGTAAGAAGACATAAATGTGCATCCCTTATATTGATTGTAGAGATTAAATGATGTTAGTTTGTAGTAGAATAAAGTTCTTAGTGTAAACAAATAAATAGCTAAAAGCTTAATTATTAAAGCTTTTCAAAAAATAGCTTATATAAAGTTCTTATTTTATTAACCAAACAGGTCTGATAGATTATTTATAGCTTAAATTAAACTACAAGCTCCATAATTATCTCTACCAAGGACACACTAATTGTGTTGTTGCTTCCATGAATCAGAGTCTCCACACTTCTTTCTTATCTTTTCATGGTCTTGTGTTTCTGAAGCACTGTTGGCTGTTATTATTGTACTAGGGAGGTATCTTTTCATAAGGAAGCATATGTCCGGAGGTCTGTGCTTTTTGCAGCATCATGCATATTGATTTCTCTTCATCCCTCCTTTATAAAATCTGCCCTAGTTGAAGGCAATGCTGACTTTTTAAATGGGCTCGAATGGGTCCGCACATGGGCCCTAAGTGTAGCTGAATCAGACACAGATAGGGAGTGTTACACGGTATGTCACTTTTCCCCTTTGAAAGTTTGGTCTACATTTGATTATTTCTATTTCCATGCTGCATTTATTCTTTTACTGCAAAGCATTTACTATGATATCCTAATTTTGTCTTACCATACTGACGCTGTGTAAAGTGAGCTTCTTTCTTCAATGCGAGTTGCTGACACCCTGATCCAAATGCTTAAAACAAAGTTTGAGTAATCATCATTATCATTAGTGCCTACCCTGTTGCCAATAAATGTATAAAATTGATTTTTTGAACCTAGAAAGGAACAAGGTGAGGGTCCAGGGAAGGGTCTCTCACTACTAGGGTATAAGGGCCAAGCCTTCCCATGTCAAATTTTGACAAGAGGCCGCTCGCAAGACTCAAACCCGTGACCTCATAGTCAAACAACAACAACCTGCAACCCTAACCAAATAATAGTATAAAATTAATTTTAGACGATATATTCATGTAAAAGAGAATGTGGACGATGTTTTCCGTCTGATGCCCTCCCTGTCACAACCTTCTTATTTTTTAAGAAGGAAATAAAAAATGAGGTTGCAGTGTCGAAACATATTCAACTTAAGGAATGTAACATATCTTAGCATAGCACTGTATCATTGATTTAAAATGATTTATTGAGCCTTATTTGACTAAAAAATCCTGAACCTTTCCCATTGAACTTAAATCAGTGTCCTTGCTCTGTATTTTCTTTCTCTGTAAAATTTTAATCGCATCCAACCCTAACACTTTGTTTGGGAACTCTCCGCTCTTGGTGATAGACAATATGGGGAAAAAATGTTTTCCTAGTATTTTAATCATCTCATGTTATTGCATTGGAAAGACAAAGAGGAGTGGAAAGACTGCAAAAATAATTATTTGTTACGAAAGTAATCTTTAATGGAATTTAGAATAAGAAGGATTGAGACTGAATCACTTGGTTTATTCCATGAAATGAGTTGCTATTTATACAATATTCTAGGGATTAATAAGGCAGGCTACTAATTATAATATTAAATACAAATATTTGTAACTGACAACTCTAATCAATTGTGTAACGGTTGTCTAGACTTTTCTTTGTCTAGATTCTTCTATATGCCCCCGCAAGCCAGGTATTCTATCAGTGCTAAGAATCCTGAGCTTGTCACGTAGAAACACAAACCGCTGTCGTGAAAGTGGCTTGGTGAGAATCAAGGTAGTCAAAAGCGCGCGCTTCAGCGCCTAGGCGCACAAGGCGCAGCGAGAATCACCCCCAGCGCCTTAGAATCGTAGAAGCGCAGCTTCCTGCCTCAAGCGCAGTAAAAGCGCATAAGCGCAGGAAGCGCTGAAGCGCTATAAGGCGCACGCTTTAGTCGCCTGAGACGGAAAAGGCTTACAGCCTTTTTTATGTTTAGAACTTTGAAAAGCAATTAGCCCATATGTTTAATAGCACTCAGCCCATGAAAAAATAGGGTAAACCCACTTAAAACTACGTGAAACTAAGAGTAAAAAGGTAAAACTGGCGCAAGACACTTCAGCTATCATCGCTCACCATCCTCGCTCTTCACTCTCCTGGCTTTCCTCACTCGACACTAAGCTCTACATCAGCCAGTTCTTTCAGCTTCCTTCATCATCTGAAGCATACTCAGCTCTCCCTGGAGCTAAACAAGGTATGTTCTTTTTATCATGTAGTCCTCTTTATACAAATATCATATTACAGTATGTTAGTGTTTATTAGTGTAAATATGTAATATTAGTATGTAATACTCAGTACTTAAATGTAATACTCAGTTTTTAAATATATGTACTCTGGTTTGTGAATTTTTAGTATATTAGTACGTATATAATACTCAAAGTCTCATAGTACCCTACTTTGGGATTTTTTAGTATATTACTTTGTATATAATACTCATGGTACTCTGCTTTGTGTTGTTTTAGACTTTTAGTATATTACCATGTATATAATACTCATAGTACTCTGTGTTTTTTTTGTATATTACTATCAATAGTATGTATATAATACTCATAGACTTATATTCTAGATAAGCACTTTTGCTTCAAAAATAACCGTTTGACAGAAAAACACAAAGTGTTTAACAATCAAAAAACACTTTTTGCTAATGCAAGAATGCAGCAAAGCAGTGCTTCAAACTCACTGTATATATTATTCTGCTTTGTGATTTTTTTGTATATTAACATCAATAGCATGCATATAATATTCATAGTACTCTCTGCTTTGTGATTTTTTTAATATATGTTCACTGCTTTGTGCTTTTCTAGGATATGGAAGGTGGAACAAGTTCTGTGGGTGAGGAAAGTGAGGGAGAAATTGAAGAGGACGTTGGGGAGTATAAATCAGATAATGGCGAACAAACCGACTCCTCTTTTAATGACGATTAGTCCTTCACAAGTGTCTGTTAGTTTTAGTTTTAGTTTTAAGCCATGAATTCTGAATTTGGACTTTTATTTTTGTGAATCATGACTCAATCCAAAGAGTTTCAGATGCAGCTGTGGATAGGGCCCGATACTCTGCTTCGGTAGAGGATTTGGCAATTGTGCATTGTTTGGATGATTTCCATGAAATAAGTGATTCTCCGAGAAAAATGGCATAGGCACTGGTGGAGGACCGGTCGTCTGGATTTCTCGCCCAGTCCGCATCAGCATAAGCACACAATGAAAGGTGAGAACTCCGACGAAGATGTAAACCATGAGAGCTTGTTCCTTGAAGGTACCGCAAGAGACGTTTCATGAGCTGCCAATGATTGATAGTGGGTTTATGCCTATGTTGTAAAAATCGGACCGGAGAGTGACCCGGACAGAAGACTGGGTCACGGGTCAACCCGGTCAACGACCGGTAAGCCCGGTCAACACCAATACATATAAAAATTAATTACAAGTATATAAAAATATTAAATTGATTATTACAAAAAGTGTATTCCTTCATAATTTAATAATGATAATATAATATAAGTAATGTAAAAAACTTTTGTATTTAAGAATATTGATTTTCACAACATTGAAAATACATTGGGATTTAGATGAATAATAAATATGAACATAATATGGAGTATCAATTACAAAAAATATTGGGAGATTATATACATAATTGGATGTTAAGAATATCATTGATTTGTATTTATTAGTATTAAATTATAATTTGATTAATTATTGACCTAATAAACTAACACTAATAAAAATACTCCAGGCTTAAAAGTGTATAAAAGAGCTAAACAACCAAAATTACCAACCGGCTTGTGTAGCACGTTGGTTTGCCCGCTTAAAATTGAAGCAAGTGGCGCGGGTTCGACTCCCGCTGGTGAAGATTTTCCGGGTTTTTTGCATAATCCGGGTTTGAGACGGGCCGGTTCCGTCACGAGTTCGGGCGGGTTACTGGTTAATCCCGATTTTACTCAGATTTACGGGTCAATGGTCAACCGGACCGGACATAAGGCCGGGTGACCGGTTTTCGGGTCGAACCGGCCGGTCCGGTTCGGGTCTTTCAACACAGGTTTATGCATAAACTGAGCTAGCTTGTTGATGGCAAAGGCAGTGTCAGGTCGGGTGAGGCTTAAATACTGAAGTGATCCAATAACTTGACGATAGAGGGTTGCATCACAAGAACCCGAACTATCAAACAAAGTCAAGGAAGCTCAGGAAGCTAAGGGTGTGGATACTGGATTCGCCTCATGCATGTTCAACACTTGTAATAAATCCGTAATGTACTTGTGTTGATCAAGAAAGAGTCCATCCGGTGTAGGGGTGACCTGCATGCCCAAAAAGTAATGTAGTGATCCCAAATCCTTGATGGAGATTTTTTGTGCTAACAAGTCAATAGTCTGATGGATCAATGTTGTTGTAGAGCCCGTGACAATAATATCATCCACATATACTAACACATAGATATAAGATGGATGAGAGGAAAAAATGAAGAGGCTGACATCAGAAACTGATTAATAAAACCCAAGGGATAAAAGAAATCCACTGAGAGATTGGTACCACACCTGAGGTGCTTGTTTGAGACCATAGATGGATTTCCTTAGACGACACACTCTTCCAGATCCATCATTAAAACCAGGGGGTTGTTTCATGTAAACCTCCTCTTGGAGAGCCCCGTGTAGGAATGCATTGTTGACATCTAGTTGATTTATGTGCCAGCCATGAGAAAGGGCAATGGTCAGAACAACCCGGATAGTAACTGGCTTGATGACAGGACTAAAGGTCTCAGAGTAATCAATCCCCGGGTGCTGATGAAAGCCCTTAGCCACCAATCGAGCTTTGAAACGATTTGCGCTCCAGTGTCTTCCAGACAGAGGCGGAGGTCGTTGCTGACCCAATCAACAGTTTGCAAGCGGAACTGGGGGAAGAAACAAGGGCGTGCCGCACCAGACGGTCCTGTCTCTTCCATCGGAGATGGCTGGCAGCTTCACTTTCTGGAGGAGGACTGAATTTTTCATCAATATACTGGTCCAGATGAGAACCAAACAGAAGGTCCATCACTTGGTCTCTCCATACAAGGTAATTTGATCCATCTAGTTTTTCTAGGAATTGGCTAGGGCTGAGCATAATAAGGCCATCTGGGGTTAGGGGATTGTTGGCTGAGAAAGATGAGGTTGAATTATCTTCTGGACTTTTGTCTCTGTTATCTTCATTAGCCATGGGCAGATGAAGATGATGCTGGTTGAGAGGAAGGTGATGAGAACAGACCGATTAGGTCTCTAGAGGCTCTGATACCATAATGGAATTTAGAATAAGGAGGATTGAGACTGAATCACTTGGTTTATTCCATGAAATGAGTTGCTATTTATACAATATTCTAGGGATTAATAAGGCAGGCTACTAATTATAATATTAAATACAAATATTTGTAACTGACAACTCTAATCAATTGGGTAATGGTTGTCTAGACTTTTCTTTGTCTAGATTCTTCTATAATCTTTTCATCCTAAGTTTCAAATATTCTCTCGAATTTGAAGAGAAAATGAGGAAAATAACTCTTATTTCCATTCCTTTCTGTTTCTTCTAATCTTCTTCTTTCCCAGTGATAGGAATATCCAATATTACAGGAATTTTAGCTAACACAGATTACAACAGGAAATCAGATAAGAATTCTAGCTATTCAGTAAGAATTCAACTCAAGAAATCAATCAGAACTTTTATTCATGAAAGCAACAGTACAAGAGTCCCAAATAAGGAGATAATACTCCAACTTCCCAATCCCAGACTAACCGTCTAAACAGCCTGCCTTCCCTCTGTAGAAGACTTCTATTTATATCCTTCTTCAAATAGAAGGTAGTTATTAGTTATCAACAGCTTTAACTAATAACCAGACTAGTCTACTTATGCCTTCTAGAATAGACTTGCCCAAATCTATTTCTATTATTTAGACTAGCAGCCGTGTCCCTATCACCCAGACAAGCAAAAAATATTAAAAACACAATCCTTCTTCTTTTAATCCCATATTTTTATTCCCACACTTAGTTTAAGGCTTTCGATGGGTGTGTGATTCCAGGAACTCCCCTATTCTTTAGAATGGATGTGATTAAAAAATCATTGTTCATTCCTTACATTATGGTATCATGTTGTTAAGAAACCCTAAGAATTAGGGAACTCATGCGCTGATCAATTCCTGAAATTGGAGGCATACATGTAGGTCTGTCCGTCGTTTTAGGTTGAACAGGAACCAGAATTGGCGGCTTTGAACAGGAACCGGCAGTTCTGAACCGGAACTGGAACCGCAGTCTAGTAGCCTGAGCCTTCGGTTTGGGGAAGTTTGGTTTTAACAATATGCGGAACCGGATTTCAAAATTTAAAAATAATCTTTTTTTAATTCCTCAAGAACTTAACTGGATTTTGTATAAGCTATATTTTGATCTATTGAAACTTAATGGATTATTAAAACTTAATTGTAATATTAAAATGTAAACTATACTTTGAACTATTAAATTACCTATTAAAGTTTAATATACTTCAAACTTAATATAGTTCAAAATTAAATGGAGTATTATTTATACATTTAAAATGTATACATAAACAAAGTGTCTCAAATGCTTCCAAGGTATATGGTCCTGCTGCCCCTTAACCCAACTGATATGGTAGACAAATTATAAATAAAGTATTATGGGAAAATTTACCACATATAAATATTTGATTTTACTTGAAAGTTGAAAGTTAAAAAAATGCATAGTTAATTGATTCGGTTGAAATAGTATCAACGAACAAAACTAAATTTAAGAAGCCAAAAAAATAAAAAACGCCGAACTGGCCTGGAACCCAATCAGCATTGCCGGTTAAGCACTCCGGTTCCGCATATTGTGAAAATCAAACTGTTTCCCAAACCGAAGGTTCAGGCTACTACACTGCAGTTGTTCCTGTTCAGAACTGCCGGTTCCTGTTCAAAGCGACCAGTTCTGGTTGCTGTTCAACCTAAAATCATGGACAGTTCTGTGGTTCTACTACTGTGTGGTCCAGTTTCATACTCCCTTCATCTGTATAGACTATAACGAATTTGAAAACAAAGCAGTTTTCGAGTTACATGCAGTAGGAATAATTTTAGCGAATGCAATATTCTACTACATTTATTTATCACATTTGAAACGAGGTGAACATCCCACTTTTGTGAAGGTCATCTCGTGTTGTTGCCATTGCGTCGAAATTATAAAAAAAAGTAATGTAAACTACTCTACTAGGCTCAAGCTAAGTTCCCTGCCCCTTTCTATGATTGAACTTGACTGTTTGCCCGTACTTAATTATATTCTACTGCATTTAATAAATGGAAGGATCTAGGTGGGGCATGTGCATGTAGTTTATTAGTGCATTTATGCATGTAGTTAATTCATGCATTCATGCATATCATGCTTTGACAAATATATAGTTCTCATAAAGCCAGACAAATTTCTCTTCATTGCATCTGAGCTAGTGGGCTAAATAAATGGTGTGGTACTACTAGTCTAGGTTCCCCTCACATGGGATTTGTCCTTCCTGCAGGGAACCTATCTGGTCTATAAAGCTAGGTTCCTTCGCACAATGGTCGCTAGACTTGTCAAAATATTGAGAAGGGATCATTAAGAGCATTAAATGCTCCCTTGATGACAGCTTAGGTATTGCAGGGAGACATCATATGTACTGTTAGGTTAGTTCATTGACAGCAGTGCCGGTCCTACCTAAACTCAGGCCTGAGTCGAGCTTCATAAAATGGGCCCCATACATAGTATTTGTTTATCAAATAAATTCACTAAAATTGAATGAATAAATATCACAAAAACACAATCTTTCAACAAAAGTCTTCCATTATCACAAAACGACATTGAATGTATTAAAAAAATTACTCAAGTAAAACCCGTCGAACAATTTTAGATACATAATTTAGTGGAATCCTCAACAATATATATTATTAATTTTCTCTACAAATCAGCCCTCGAACTAACTTAAAAAGTGCAAAACACCCCTTATATAAGAGGTTCTGTCCGACCGTCGCCATTCGGGGTGGTTCCTAGTGAAATTTTTTGATGAAATTTTTTGAGCATCTTTTTCATTAAGTCTAGTTTATCTATACCGAAGTTCAGCTAAAAATTCAACCAATAAGGCAGTCAAATGATTTTCTGAAATATACTGCGTTGTTTAATAGCGCAGTTATCTTCAAAAATTCATTTGACTGCCTTCCCAATTGCATTTTTTACTGAAATTTGGTATGAGTAAGTTAGACTTAATGAAAAAGATGCTCAAAAAATTTCATCAAAAAACTCCACCGGGAACCACCCCAAATGCTTAAAAAATTGTAGACCCCTAATTTTTTCAATTTTTTGGGGCCCTGAGGCTTGGGCCTCTCCAGCCTAACATAAGGCACGGGCCTATTTGACAGCATAAGGAGGATGGGGTCTGGTCATTTTTTAAATTAATATTCAATCCATTTTACGGACTCAAAATTTCAAGGAAAATGTGTACTTTTTGATGAATCATTTGACAATGAATAGTGAATTAGCGTCAATTTCATTTTTTAGTGGGGAGGGGGGAGGGGGGAGGGGTCTTAAAAAAAAATAGTCTCTTCACTTCCGGTGGTAGAGGCAGGGGCGAATCTGCGTTAGGGGACAACCTACTTCTTGATTTGCTTGTTGGGAGGGGAGAGCGGGGTCAGTCGTGGGAGGAGAACCAACAAATTATAGTCTTTAACTTTAATATAATATGTGACTTAAATATTTGAGTCTGTTTTGTGCTAAGTTGGGTAAGATATGATAATTTGCCACTAACATTCGGTGTATATATATGCATTGCGCAGCTGGCAATGAGCTGCATCCAACTCCACAGTGAAATGGTGTTGCAAGTTTCTAGAGCGGTTGATAGGGTAGAAGAGAGTCACACCCGTTTGCCCTCAAATATGTGGAGGAGTGGTGGTGCTATTAAATTCTACTGATTGGTGAGTTTGAAGAATTGTTTCCAGAGAGCCCTTTAGTTTGGATAGATAAACTCATTCATAGACATGCTTTGTTGGGTTAGAGATATTACTATAACGTAATTATATTACAACCCTTTTAATGTATGAGGGATATATGATAACTTTCAATTGCAAACAATTGATTACACCGTCCAATTCTACATGTGGATAAACAAACATAATCATGTAATGTTGATTACATTTCAAAGTTGTTATTACTAAGTAATCAAACATAGTAATGGTATGAAATTCATATTTAAGTAATAAAAAAAGGCGTTAATTTCATCCAACAAGAAAAAGGAAGGAAGACACATTGGTGGAGCCTTCAAGCATCAATGAAACAAGAAACCCAAGTTGACAGTTCCTTGAATATGTTTTCCCAATATGCAGCTATGTTTATGCTTCCACTGATGCAGACATTTGATAAGAAAATACATGGTGTTGATTTGCTTGATAGAGATTTTCATCATCTTAGGAAAGGTTATCTACATGCTCGGGGGTTTGTCTGAAGTGTGATGCTATGCATCCAATAGCATCTGTTTCGGCATCTCCTCTGAGATCTAGGTATCAATCATTATTATTCATGCTAGTGGTGTTATTGCTGGTTATTATTCTTGACCACTACTACTTCCATCCTTAAGAGGAGTTCCTACTTTAACTTGTGTTTTTTTATGAATCAAATATTTTGCTTTTGACTTCCAAGAATGTTATTGTGATAGGTGGGGATATTAAACGTGGATAAGTAAAGTAAGACTTTTACTTTTATCTTAATAAGAAAGATTGAAAGAAGCCTTTGTATAAAGGAAATCATGAACTTTATTTGGGACAGGTGAAGTATTAAAATGTTAGTTGTGGTGTAAATGAAAAATGCTTGTGGCAGTGTAGAGTCTGTTTGCCACTCGAAGCTGCTAATTAGCTGAAAGCTGTTCTAGGTCATTTATAGGTGTTATGTGTGTGGTAAAATTAAAGAGAGAATTACCCTAGGTATAACTAAAACTCCACCACATTCCCAATCTATGACTTTGAGTTTTTTTCCCCAAATAATATTAAAATTCGTAATATTTAATTAATATATTATTAAATAATAAAATAAATATTTTATATGGACTAATATGCCCTTAGATTTTCATTATAAAACCCTAACATCCTATACATCTTCTCCAACCCTAGTTGTTGCCGTCCAGTATCCCTGCCTCTCCGTCCAGCCATCTACCATCGCCGCCCAACTGCTTGCCGTCTCCGCCCAACCACTGCCGGCCACCGTCCAGCCTCTTTCACGTCTTCATCCATATCAACAAGATCAGGACGAGTAGGCTTTGATTCTGGCGGATTTGGGGATCCAGTTCTTATGGCCGTGATTTTCTTGATTTTATTCCATCATCAGCCGTTCAACCATCGTTTGACATCTCGCCGGCTTAATTCAAACGATTTAATCGCCGCATAAGATGAATCGATTTCGTATTCGAACAGTAAAAAGAAGTGTGAAGCTAGCGGTGGAGATATCCGTTGATGGCGTTCAAGAGTGAGCACTCTGGCAGCTCTGTTTGTGAAACGCAATGAGGGATACGGAGTATTAGATCTCAGGCCTAAGGGTTTGTTTTGAGATTTCTTTTCTTCACTTTTGGGAGATTTCTTTTTTTGTTCCTCAAAAAAAGAAATTAAAGTTTGTTGAATTTAGGGTTTATGGGCATTAAACATGTGGATTGAGCAATAGCGGTGAATATGACAATAAGGCTTGAATATGACAGTGAATGTGACAATACATAATAGATATGTTGTACATGGCAGTGAACGAATGCACTAAGAAATTTTGTTATGCAGTGATTATGACTAGTATTGCAGTAACATAAAACAGTGATATCATCATCAAATGCAATATACTCCCCCTATTCTTATTTCTCACCTACTTTGCACTCGGCAAAGTCTACTGGGACTAGGGATGGACCCGGGCCGGGCCGGTTCCGGTTCCGGGCCGGGCCCGGGCGGGCTTTTTTTCGGGTTACATGGGCCCGGAACCGGCCCGGGTTGATACCGGGTCCGGGCCTAACCGGGCCGGGCCGGGCCGGGCCCGGTTCAATGTTTTTTTTTTTTTTGACTTTCTTGTTATCTCCCTACCCCCCCCCCCCCCCCTCACCCCCACGCCCCAAACCTCCCTAAAACACCCAGCCCTACCCTAGGAAAAGAAAAAAAATTGAAAAAAACCAAAAAAAAAAAAAAAAAATGAACCGGGCCCGGCCCGAACCGCCCGGGCCGGTTCAACAAAAACAGGGCCCGGAACCGACCCGCCCGACCCGCCAAAACGGGCTAAAAGCCCGGAACCGGCCAACCGGGCCCGGTCCGGTTCGGGCCCGCACAGTAGCGGGCCGGTCCGGTTCCGGGCCGGTTCGGCCCGGCCCAGTCCATCCCTAACTGGGACGGAGGTAGTACCTAAATAGACTTTGCACTCCTCAATTGCATAAGAAGAGAATTAATTTTAGGGGAAGTGCAGTGATTATTACCAGATGTGCAGTAAAGTCATGCATTAATTTTGTGCATTAACGGCAATATAAAGTGCAATAATTTTAATTGGACGAAATTAGTGCAAAATGCACATATTTTAAATAAGGGTATTTTTGTCATTCAACATTTAAATATAAACGAATTTTCTATTTGTTTTTGGATTTTCGGTCATACAAAGGTATAAAAACTAGTTAGGTCATAGATTGAGAAACTCATTGAGTTGTAGTCATATCCCGGTAAATTTCCCAAAATTAAACTGTTGTGTAGTGTATTGATGTAAGAAGACATAAATGTGAATCCCTTATATTGATTGTAAAGATTAAATGATGTTAGTTTGTAGTAAGATAAGGTTATTACTGGAAATAGCCAAGAGCTCACTTACTCTGTATTTTCCTTCTCTGTAAAATTCTAATCTCATCCAACCCTAACACTTTGTTTGGGAACTCCTCTCTTGGTATAGACAAGATGGGGAAAAAAAATTATTTTCCTAGTCTTTTAATCATATCATAATATTGCATTGAAAGAAAAAAGGAGGGGAAAGAATGAAAAATTAATTATTTGAATTGTCAGTTTTGAAGGGAAAGCTACAATATCTCATTATGAATTTAAAATAGCTCAATATATAAGTATACATATTTTTTCTTAAATTATACTACAAAATACAAATATACTTCAACATACATATGTATGTATACAATAAATCATAAATTCTTTGATCTTACAATATATGAATATATATTAGGATGAGATTCACAAGGATTATCGATGTCTTCTTTATATATAGAATTTTAATACATATATTCAATTATTAATATAACTAATTAGATTAACTATTCAAGTTTGAGTAATTTTCCTTGATTTTTGAAATTTTTAGCGTATCATGAATTTGATTTAATATATTGATTTTTAATTATTATTTAGAGATAAACATTATGTGGATTCAATTGGTAACAACTTCCCACAAATAAAAATACATACTAGCTAATTAGGTTGCGGCGGGGCGGAGCCGCCCCGCATGGGGCGGGTCATGGGTCAACAAGTTTGGACTCGTGCAGGTCACGGGGCGGGGCGGACCCGCCCCGCCAAGTCACCGGGCGGGTCTTGCAATACCCGCCCCGACCCGACCCATTGCCATGCCTATACAGAACATTTGAGTCCTATAAAAGAAACCAAATGCACAGGTTCAGACAAAGTCAACACCAATTCAGAAAACGTAACACAATTCCTATAAAACGGAAGGTCTTTTGGGCAAATTTCATTGGAAAGAAGAAATTAACAATAAAACATAACTTTCCTAACATTATCCTTCAGATCGGGAAGTGGCCTAACAGAGGCACTACAACTTGGTGCTATGGTATTTCTCCCTACACCACCACCACGGCCAGCAACAACACTACTTGTCATAGAACCGCTGTCAGATGTTACTGGATCCGCATAAAATCTAGCTCTGAAAGCCGCTAGATGAGCATAGTATGCTGGAGGAACTACATAATAATATACATGCATCTCGATAAAATTAGTACATGTTTTTTACATATCAAATTCACGAAGTAACCTAAAAACAAATTTCAGCAATGATGCAATTATGAATGAACTCACTTGGCATTAACATGCCGAGAAATACATCCAGAAATAAGGGTGCAGATTGCAATTAGACTCTCCACTAAATATAAACATCACCATTTTCAGAAGAAAAGGGTCATATAAACCCATCAACTATTTCAAATACATCACTTAAAAACAATTAATTAGGTCACATTATGGGGAGATGACCCTCTATAGCTAGTCAGATGGTGATGTGGTATATCTGGTCCTTTTCTCTTTGTTTTTTATATGTCGGTTCATTTTTCCTTCCCTTTTTCTTCCCCTACGTTTTTCATGTTTCATTTTGTTGGTATTTCTATATTCCTTATTGACCTATTTTCATTTTCTCAATTAATTTTGAGACTTAAATGTCACATAAGTCTTTCTCAGGTTTAAATGATTTGATCGACTTCATTGGTGGTTGTATGTTAGTTCTTTAATCATCATCATTTTCATTTACCCACCTACGATGGGGTAAGAGGGGGTCGGATGTACGCAGTTTTACCTCTGTACTAAAGTACAGAGAGACTGTTTCCCGATGACCCGTAGTGAAAATCACGTCCAAAATTGCATGGATTGACTGTTGTTTCATAACAAAGAAGCGCAGATATTTTAGTGAGCCATTTTGCTTTATTCCGTCACATTCTCAAGCCAAAAAATAATGAATCTTTGGCTCCATTGCGAATGATGGAAAATGTTAGTTCTTTAGCAAGTGAAAATCTGAAATCTTTAGATTCTACAAAACACTGCACACCCATTATGACTCACCAAGTATCACAATGTCTCTAACCCTTCTCTGAACTTTTGATTAGTTTACTCATTTAGATTTGATTTGTTCATTTCGTTCCCTCATTAGTATGATAATGGATTTCGCTACTATGGTCTCTAACCTGTTTGTTAAAAATTTGTATGATTATTATGAATTTATATATTTAATATATGTGTGTGTGTTAATGAAAAATCACAAGAATACAAGTAGATATTCAGATCTCCTAAAAAAATATTATGTTCCTTTAGATTTAGAGATGAAAAATAAAGGGGAAGAGAGAGTGACCATAACTGGGAATGAAAGAAGAAATGAAAAACGAATTAAAAGTTGAGACGCAATAAAGAAATCAAAGAATCAGGAGGTTAGAAGACCGGAAGATC